CCACCAGTGTCCATTTCCCACCACCAATGTCCCCTGTTTCCCTACCACCATCTCCCATCAACCCTCAAACCTCCTTCTATGGGAGGCACTTTCCTTCTTGCTCTCTCTCTCCTTTTCCTTTTGTGCATTATGGTTTGCAATACAGGTGCTGAGAAGAGGTCATGGTGCTTGTCCAGGGCATTTGGTATTTTTATCTGGGCAGTAGGGCTGGAGTAGCTTTTAAATTGGGTGGCAACTCTGGGGTGTGGATGTGACTGCCGAGGCTTCTGTAAGTACAGGGAGGTGGGGGAAGATAGCCCATCCCTACCCCAAGAAATTCTGGAGATTTCAGTCACAAAACCTGAATACCAGAATTTCCAGCAGATCATGTCTTGGTGAGGTCTGTCCTGAGACAGTGGTGTCAGGCTGGAGGTATGGCACAATTCACGATTTTGGATTGTGGAAGCAAGTGGCTCTGCTTGGGTGGTCACCAGGCTGACTGCCCCCCTGTGATTTACCCTAGTCTGTTTAGCCGTGCACGGTCTGAGATTAATTGCAGATTTTGGTCTCTTTCCAGATTAATGTATGGGTCTCTGAAATAAGGCCGATAAATGAGCTTGTATAACTGAGCCGGAGGTGGTTTGTGGGTGTGTCTCCCACATACCTAACTTTTGGCAGTTTACTTTCTTGGTAAACTTTGCCCCGAGTTTTTGGGGTCTGGCCAAAGGCACAGCAGCAAGTTTTGGGTACCAGGAAGCCTGAAGGCGCCGTCAGGCTGCTGATGCACTCGCCCCCCTGGTACAGGTTGACCTGCTGGCGGCACCATGCCCCTAGTAAAACAGAAGTTCTTCGTGTAAGGTAAACTCTTGAGAAGGCCTGGCTTTAAAGAGCTTCCCATCATTGCTGTCAGGGGTCCACACCCTGACAGATTTTGAGAGTTAATTGTGGCCACTGCTTTCTTAGTGTGGTTTGAGTTTGGGAGTGAGGGGGGCTAGGAAGAGGCTTCTTTTAAATAAAAAAAAAATAAATAAAAACCTTCCCAGTGTGGCAGACATCACTCATTGATCGTCACACCATTCACCTGGAATCCTTAATGAAGGTGGTCGTGTTTGTATCGTCCCCCCCCCCGCCCGCAGCAATTCATCCAGGCCAGGACAACTAACTGACCAGCGCACACTCAACCCAGAGGTACGAGTGGAGAAGGAAGGCAATTCCGATTGTCTGACTCTGAGCCCCGTGAGCCAGAAAGCGCTAAAGACACAATAGTGGGAGCGCCAAGACAGAAGGAAGGTTGGCAGGGTCCAGGGGAGGCAGAGCTGTGGGGGTCACCGCCTCAAACAGGGAGGAATGGGCCGTTAGAACCGAGGGAATGCCAGTGTGAGCAAGAGACCGGGCAGCACGTCAGAGACATAGAGAAAGGAGATGCCCCACGTCAGTCCTGGAGGCTCTTGAAGCCTTCCTGTTCCTGTTCACTCGGGAGCAGCCCACAGCGAAAAAACTCGCAGAGTCTCCGTGAGACTCTTCATGGTGCCCAGCGAACTTGTTACACGCAACAAGGCAAATTCTTTTCCCTCGAGATTTACTTTTTCAGCCAGGGTGGGAGGCAGTTTGGGCCACATCCAGCGGTGCGGCCAAGGGCACCTCCAGGTCTCTGTGCTCAGGGATCGCTTCCGGCAGAGCTCAGGGGACCCACGTGTCGCTGGGATTGTAAACCAGAGCCGGCCACGTGCCGGGCAAGCGCCCCCACCCCTGTGCTGTCTCTCCGGCCCTGCATTTTCATATCACGGAGCTTCTCCCGCTTCTCCGACTGGCCCTTGTTTAACAGGCGCCTGTGAGCGAGATTCAGTGCCTGCCACCTTGTGCCATCACCTCCCCGGCAGAGTCTCTCGCGGACCCCAGGCTCCCTGTGCGTCTCTATGGCGACCTGGGAGCCAGGGAGCGAATCTTTCCGGCTCTGTGTCTCCAACACCCAGATCAGGCCACGCTCCACAGGGACTTAGGGCCTGTTTGCCGACGAAGCAGTGGAGAGGCCAGTTCTGCACACCCTCAGGCACTCTCCAGGTCCACACGCTACACTTGGGGCAGATGCCCAGGGCCTGTTTTGCCCGCACCTCTCCCCAACAGCCACTCACCGCCAAAGAACCCCAAGCATTCAGACATCTTTCTCGCATGTTACATTAAGGTGATCCCTAATTGGTCTGGGAATTCCCACTGTGGTCAGATGCACCTATTGCAAGAATGCTGGACAGATGCTTGCCAGCCGGCCAGCCCCTTGACCTCACAAAGGAGTCTGGGAGCAGGGCAGCCTCAGGTCAGGGGCTAGTGGTGCTCCCCATACCCCCGCTGCCTCGATGGCAGTGCAAGTTCCAGGTTGAGAGCCAGGGTCTACTTGGTCCAGCACAAGCCCAGGAGGCCATCGGTCACTGCCTCTCAGAAACCTGATTGGCTCAGCTACCCCCGGCCCGTGTCTGGACCTGGATTTTCTCCCTTGGACTGACTCTCTTCTCCTCTCAGTCCTGTTCTGCTCCTTGCTTGGTTTTCATTTTTGTTTTTCCTTCCAAGATTCTTTTTTTTTTTCTTTATAATTCATTGTGGTCTAATTTTAATGTAGAGACATTTGATCAGGGATAGAGAAACAGTTCATTTTGCCAATGGGAGGTCAGGGTTCAAGTCTGACACCACCTGGTCACCTGAGTACCCCCAGTAACAACCCCAAGCCCAGAGCTAGTGTAGTCCCTGAGCCCCCCCAGGTTGTAGCCCAACAGGGCATTTTATCAATCATTTTATCAAGCAGCTTTCTGTTTGGGTGTCTTCTTTTGAAACAAAAGTCTAGTCACACCCAGGAAAGTGCACAAAGTGACTGGACAGCGCAGGGAATTTATCACAAGGGACACACCGGCTGCCCTGGCCAGAACCTGCCGGTTTCCCTGGTCTCTGGTCACACACCATTTCTGAGGTCCCTTGGCTGGAGCTCTGTGCCCGGCCCTTGTTGCTGCCTTTCCCAGCACGCAGGCTGTGGACAGTCCCGTCCATCCCTGCCTCCTGGGGTGGGATGTGCCCTGCAGTGTCCAGGACTGTGGCGTCCATGCTCACTCTCTGCCGCTCACACAGGCCAGGCACGGAGCCTGGCTCCCGGAAGCGCTGGGCAGATGTGGAATAAGTGGTGGCACAGGTTGGGAAGGACTGAAGGCAGGGAAATTTTTTTTCCATTTCCATTGTTTTCCATATTTTCCATTTTTATAGTGGGTGGCCTCCCCAGCCTGGAGTCACTCCATGTGATATCGACCAGTGATGCGGGTCTGACAGTTTAGTTCTTGGCCCAGCAAAGTCATGTTACTCAGACCTAACGATGCTGAGAGCCGTGGGGACCATACCCAGTGGTGCTTGGGGGGCTACCAGGCTATACCCAGCATTGCCATGGGGAGTGATTTGGTGCCAGGGAGCAGACTCGGGGCTTGACCCTGTCAGGAGTGTGCTCCATCCCTTTGAACTGTCTTCTTGCCCCCTTATTTCCTTTTGGGGGGCCACACCGAGCAGGTCTCAGGGGCTATTCCAGCTCTCTGCTTGAGGGTTGTTTCTGGGAATGCTTACGGGACCATGTGGTACCAGGGAAGGAATTGTTTCCCATTGGAGGGGTGGGGCTTGAGCCACACCCAGCAATGCTCAGGGGTTACTCCTGGCTCTGCACTCAGGAATTACTCCTAGTGGTGCTCAGGGGACCATAGGGGATGCCAGGGGTTAAACCCAGGTCACTGCATTCAAGGTAAGCGCCCTACTCATTGTACCGTCACTCCGGCCAGTTTTCCATTTTTAAAGTACTTGATTCTCAGGGAAGACAAACAAGCAAAAGACCCACATCCAACGTCACTATTAAGAGAAGTACAGGACACTGACGGCTCAGCTCAGATCTAGGGTTTGTGTTTTTGGTGGTTTGGAGAGGTTTGCTTTGCTTTGCGTTGCTGTTTTTGACTCAGAAGGAACATAGCAGAGCCGGAGAGATAGCACAGCAGGCATGGCATTGGCCTTGCAGACAGCTGACCCACATTCAGTCACCACCACTGTATCTGGTCCCATGAGCCCGGTCAGGAGTGAGCCCTGAGCACAGAACCAGGAGTAAGCTCTGCGCCCAGGTGGGTGTGGCTCAGAAACCACAGAGAGAGAGAGAGGAGACAGATAGATAGACAAGAGGCCCCGATCGGCAGCCCAGCACGGCCTACAACTCGGATGGACAGAGCCACCAGCGTATTCTGCTTTGGTTACAGTGGGACCTCAGGAGGCTTGGAGCCCGAGTTGGACCATCCCGAGTTGCTCTGGCGCTGTCCCCTTGGCCTGCCCTCCTCAGCTGAGCCCTCAGAAGACTCTCTACACTCAGCCGGGATCTCGGACGGTCGGGGGCAGTTCGTCCTGTGGAAGGGAAGGAACCTGAGTTTTGGCACTGGGTACTTGAGGCTCCGTTCCTAGCTCTGCTTCCTGGCAGTGGCAAGACCTTGACCCTTTACCTTTGAACCTGTTTTCTCATCTATAACATGAGATTGGGGGGTTGCGAGCATGAAATGTGAGAGGTGATTTAGAAACTTCTCGAAATACTTACTAGGGTCCAGCCCCGGTGTTTCTAAAATGCGACTAGAGGTGAAAAGGCCTTTCGGACCCTCCCCCACCCCCCCTCCCCCCAAAAGTACCAACTATTACACTGATTTATTATCCTTCGTCTTTGTTTCCTGGTTGGGAAAGGACAGGGTCCAGTCCCCGTTGCTTAGTTCAGACCAGTTTCCTGTTATAATGGCAAATATTACCACCCGGCAGGGGTTGTGAATGAGGTCCCTGTCACAAAGCACATGGCCTTGTTCCTTAATTGCCAGGGTGGAATTAATTTGCTCTTCCTGTTTCTCTTGTGACAGGAAGTAGATGTCCTTGAATTTCAGTTGATTAATGGAGGCCTCTGAGCGGAGTGCTCCAGCCTCTCTCGCTTTTAATCCTGATGCAATGCAAGGCTCTAATTTGATAATTTTGCTGTTTTTCAGATGGATCACCTACTGGTTGAAAATATTGAGCGGGAAACGTTTCATCTCTGCTCCCGCCTCATTAACGGGCCGTACCGGCGCACGGTGAGGGCCCTGGTCTTCACATTAAAGCACCGAGCTGAGATACGGGCTCAGGTGAAGAACGGCTCGCTGCCGGTCGGCACGTTTGTACAGACCCACAAAAAGTGACCCAACGCCGCTTCCAACGGGCCTCTCCACCATTCAAAGCCTCTTTTGAGTCGGGTGGTGGCCACTGCCGCCTGCGCTCGTTCTGCCCAGGTGCCTCTCCTGCCTGCCGACGACAGTGCAGCGGGACCCCCAGGCCTGCTGGAAAGGCGGGGTGGGCCGCGGGGCGCCGGCAGCCTAATCACAGGAGCGCGGCTGTCCCTGGGAAGGCCCCCGCGCGGTGCTGTCACCCAGCCCGGGGACAGGCTGACGGATGGCACGGTGAGCATGCCAAGGACACCTCTAAACTTCCCCCTTGGCAGGCAGATGAAGCCGCCACTTTATTTCGCCACCCTGCAGGTAACTGAAACTCAATTACCGCTGCCGCTCCCTCGGTTCCATCCCCCTGAGTTTAGACTGCGCCCGAGCCTCTCAGAACTCCCCGGTCTGTTCGCTTTGCTCTCCCCCAGGGGTGAGCCCGCCGGAGCCAGCCACTGCCCCTGCTCCCCAGAACTCACTTATCTGAATGTTTCAGCTCTGCCTGGAAGACCTTGGTGCAGGTCCCCCCGGCCCCCATGCTGGGTCTTCTAATGAGGATCTGGCCTGAAGCATCCCCACGCCTTGGGGTTCATTTGAATTATGCCGGCTCTCTGGGTCTCAGACTCAGCGGAAGAAGATGCATAATGTACATAATGGAAATTTCCCCTGAAATAAATTGCTGAGAGAAAAAGGAAACACAGTCCTATGTATTCTAAGTACTGCACCCGGGGAAGGGACTGCCTTATCTCATTTTATTGATGATATTTGCTTTTTAAAAGTGATGATAATAAAAAAATAATAAAATGATAAAATTATAGTAATTTTTTAATTTTTCACGGCTTTTCATGGAGAAAGGTTTCGAATTGAGAAGTTTAGATGGTAAAACTTAAGGAGATTGGACAAAAATATGAGGGGAATAATAAGACCTAAGGATGTTTGCTTTGGTTTTGTTTTGTTTTGTTGGGGTTTTTTTGTTCGTTTCTGTGTTTGGTCCATACCCTGCGTGCTTGGGTTGGCCACATGGCAGGCAGTGCCTTACATGCTGCTGTCTCTTGGGCTCCCGGGGAGACCAGATGGGTTCGTGATCTAAGGAGAAAAAAGAAAGAGATCTAAAACCCACAGAGAGCGGAGGGGTTAAAAAACAAGTGCCAGGCCCGAGAGATAGTGCAGGAGTGAAGTCACTTGCCCTGTGTGCAGCCCAGTACCACAGGGTCCCCTGAGCTCAGAGCCAGGAGTATCCCTGAGAGGACTATTGGGTGTGGCCCAGCACCCCGCTCCAACACAAACACAGGCAGAAGGGAAAGGGAGACATCGTCTACCTCTTAAGCGTCAGATGCTTTTCCTAAGACCATGAATTAGCGTCTCTCTTGATCTGTGCATCGATTTTTTAAATTTTTAATCCTGTGTAATCCTCTTACTTCTCATATTTTTGTAGGTGGTACTGTGTCTTGTCTTAGATGACTTCACTGAGGCAGTCACTATTTGCCGAGCACCTAGCCGTGTCTCCGTGCGTGAGCAGAAGCATCTTGCTCATTTCCCCCCATAAGTGACTAAGATTAACATCAGAACAATCCTGGTGAACGCAGCATGTGCTCAATCCCAGGGTGGATGTTTGAATAATTGGTGGAGATGGCGGTGGCGGGCAGGAGGGTGGGGAGGAGTGGGGCACTGCACTGCCAAGAGAGGAGGCCCACGTGACTCAGCCACACAGGGTGAGTGGCAGGTGGAAGGTTCCAGTCACGTGTGTTTGGAGACCTGATTGATCTCAGCCAGTGTCCTAGCTGCAGGCAGACCGTGTGTGCCGCCAACGCTAGAGTTTGTCGCCGAGCCCTTCCCTGTCCCCCGAGCCTGAGAAGCTCTCTTCCTGTCACTCTCTTGGTGGCAAAATGGCCAGGCTGGCCACCAGGCCCTTCCAGGGAGGGGCTCGGGTAGGCGGGACTTTACCCAGCCTCATCCGGGAACTTGACTTCTCGCGTGCATTTAGAATCTCTTGCACTTCTCTCATACCACATCCGGCTTTCTCCTTTGGTGTCCAGATGAGCCTGGGTCTGGTCCCTCTGCCCCTGTCTTCACCTCTTCAGAATCACCTCAGGAGCAGAAACAGAATGATGGGATCAAGAATGTCAGGCCTCCTTGGCGTCTTGTTTTCTCTCTGTAGAACAAGGATTTCCTCTCCTGCCTTTCCCTGACCACCCTGCGGGACGCCCTATACATGGTCCTGTGGTTATGCCACTGGATTGCGATCCTAAGTCAGGAATCTCTCTGACCCCAGTGAGTCTCTTCAGTGACCAGAACACTTGTCCCATAGTCGGAGTCACCGTCCAATTAACGGGCGTCCAGGATGCTTTCCCTCTTGCTCCCTTTCCCGTCTCTTAAAGTGGCCAGAATGAACCTTTGAAAATGTAAGATAGCCCATATCTTTTCTCTATTCATAAGATAGAAGTTCACTTCTTGCGGCTTCCATCTCACTGGGCACAAATCCCAACCCCTTACCATATCCTCCGAGGCCCGATATGACCTGGTTCCTGGTCACCTCTTGACCTCCTTTTATTTTTTTTTTTGCAATTTTTTTGTTGTTGTTGTTACTTTTGCTCTTTGGGTCACACCCAGCAATGCTCAGGGGTTACTCCTGACTCTGCACTCAGGAATCACTCCTGGCAGTGCTCGGGGGACCATATGGGATGCCAGGGGATTGAACCCAGGTCGAACACATGCAGGGCAAACGCCCTACCCACTGTGCTATCACTCCAGCCCTTTTTGCGATTTTTAAACATTTTATTTTCATGAAGTAGTTCACAAGAGTGGCCTCCTTTTCTAAGTGTCTCACACCCCTGGCCCCTTGGCTGTTCCGCATGGTGCCTTGGCAAGCACCTGCCTCGGGGACTTTACACATGTGCCATTTTCCTTGTGTGCCTCCGGAACCATGTTCTTTGCATCGGGAGCTGCGTCTACCTGGCCCCTCACTTCATTTGACTCGGCCACATCAGAAAAGTCTTGACTGACTCTACCGACGACTGTCAGCAAAGCCTGCCAGCCGTTCCCCTCCCAGCCATTCCCAAACATTCTTTCTGCTTTGGGTTGTGCTTTGTGGGTATGAGGCCCAAGCTGATCCCTAGCCAAAAAAATTAAAAAGCTTTAAAATAATTGAATAAATAAAAACTTTCTACCTGGCTTTCTTTCAAGTATTTCTCACCCCCAAAGCATTTATTTACTTCTTTGATGTTATCTCCTTGTGCATACACGTTCGTTCTCTCTCTCTCTCTCTCTCTCTCTCTCTCTCTCTCTCTCTCTCTCTCTCTCTCTCTCTCTCTCTCTCTCCCCCCCCAGCCTTCCCCCCAAGAATTTAGGCTGCTGGAAAGTCGCGTAAACCTGGCACGAGCATCATTCTTTAGCAAGAGCATCATTCTTTATTAGTTGAGTGACTCGTGTGGGCATGTGGGAAAGGCCTTGTCACTAACCAGGGGCTGCTTCCCGGAGGAAGTGATAGATGTGCGCAGTCTTAAAGGGCAGAAGTCGTTAATTGGATGGCTGAGGGTAAACCCAGCAGGCAAAGCAGAGGTGGAGCAAGGACCCAGAAAGCTGAGATGCCCAGCAGGTGACGGGGATGGCCAAGCGGGGGTCAACAGGGAGAGCGTGGGAAGAGGCCAAAGCAGGAGGCTTGTGAGGATGCAGTGAAGGCCTTTGGACGGGATTCAGGCAGGCCCGGCTTCATTGCTGTGAACACACTTCGTGCCGGAGAAGCTGGGCAGCAGAGTCTAAGCAGGAGGCTTCATTTATGCATTTAAGGGTTCTGCTAGCCTCAGAGCCCCAGGCAAGCTATGGACGATTTCCTCACTAGCTGCCAGACGTCAGTGGTGCTCCTTGGGAGCACAGTGATCAAGGTGAGCTGAGAGATCCAGAAAGCAGGCAGTGTTATTCGTGGCTGTTTTCTCCATGGTGCGTGTGCAGAATTTCCATCACGCTAACGGAACTGCTCTGTGGTGTGGGAAGGGAAGGAGGCGTGCCACAGCCCTCCCCGGCCAATCAGCAGCCTCTCAGCTCTGGCCTTGTGGAAACCAAAGTCTCCACTCATGTGAGAAGTTCATGAGACCTGAGTTTCCTGCCAGTCTAGGGACCCTGCATGGATCTGTCTTCTGAAAGTGTTTGGTTGCTAGAGAAATTTTGAGGAAATCTAAATACTAGTGGAGACCTGTCCTCCAGCTTATTGGTTTTGTTTTGTTTTGTTTTGGGGCCATATCTGGAAAAGCTCAGAGTTACTCCTTGCTCAGCACTCAGGAATTAGTCCTGGCAGTGTTGTTTTGGGGACTGAATGGGATGCCAGGGATTGAATGCGGGTCCACTGCATGCAAGGCAAGCGCCCTACCCACTGTACTATCTCTGGCTCTTACTGGTTCTTTTCTTGTGGTGGCTCAATTGGAAGTCCCTGCCTTTCGTGTGGGGGGGGCTGAGTATTTTTTTCTCAACACACTGGCATTGCGCATATCTGTCTATATGCTCCAGGGCTCTGCAGGGTGATAGAATTTCTAGCCTTCAGAAAGCCCTGAGTGTGGTAGGAGACAGCCCCATTGGGAAACCATCAGAGCATAACATCCGCCATTTGTATTGAAAATGCGAGAAGACTGGGGGCAGAGCGATGATGGAACAGCAGAGAGGGCGCATGCCTTGCGTGCAGCCGACCTGGGTTCTATTCCCCAGCGTTCCATGTGGTTCCCCAAGCACCACTAGGAGTGATTCCTGACCACAGAGCCAGGAATAACCCCTGAGCATCACCAGGTGTGGCCGCAACACACACACACACACACACACACACACACACACACACACACACACACGAGAAGGGATTCTCCAGCACCATTTCTCAGCAAAAGAGTCTCTACTGAGATTTACTATTTGAACCAAACTTAAAAGACAGGTAGGTTTTGGGTGGTTATTTTTTTCTTCTTTTTTTATTTCACCCACTTCCTCTTTTTCTTCACCATTGTTATTGCTGCTGCAGTGACCAGCTCATGCACACACGCACCTGCACACACACACACACACACACACACACACACACCTACCTCGCTGTGGATCTCATACACTTTGAGCTGCAGTGCTCACGGGATTGTACCCAGGTTGTGGACTCATGCACTCAGCTGCAGTGCTCACCAAAGTTCACATGTCTCTAAGTATGGTGCTTGCATGGGAGTCACACTTCTTAGCCAAGACTCATAAGTCATGGTTGTGGTGTTTGCCATGGGTCTCTGCACTAATCAGACGTGGACTTGCTGGCGGGGGGGGGGGGGGGGTGTCACACTTTCACACTTTCTCACTGTGATGCTTGCCCTTCTTAGTCACAGTGCTCTCAGAAACTGCGTGGGGCCCCGGGGATTGCAGGCAGCAGTACTGTTAGGATCACACTCTGTGTATGTGGGGACACTGGAGATTTGAACTCGTGCCCATAGTCACAGGCATTCTAACCACTTCTTCCCCCTGAACCAGGGGTTCTCTCATATTTTTCTTGTCCTTTCTTTTCTTTTTCCTTTTGTGTTACTGGAGATTGAACCTCCCACATGTGAATTGTATCCTCTTCCACTGAGCTACCTCTGTAGCCCCTGAATAGGGGTCCTTAATGCAAAGCCACAGATGGTTAAGGCCAGTGACGTGGGCTGGCAGACACATGAAGTTCTTAGGAATGAATAATGGCAAGTAGCCAGGAAGGTGACCAGA